TTTATGTTAATTAAAAACAGTTTTTTTTTTCATGATCACTGTAAATGTTTCTGTTTGAAATAAAGAGCTTTAGCCATTTGATTTTTACCTTACAAAACTGAAAAGATCATTTTTCATAGTTCTTTAAACTTCAGAGACTGCAGTTCTATTTTTGAAAAGCTGCAGGAACGTGATGTCCCTCTGTTACATGAAAAATTTTTAACTTTTACTTCTGCTGTCCTCTACACTCTTAACAGAATTTTAAATCTAAGATTTTTCACGTTTATGCTACTTCTTTCATACAGCCCTGTAAGACCAAATCTAATCACTGATAAATTTGAAAAAACAAGTGAAATCCTAAAAATAAACAGTGACTTATACCTAAATTATATAATCCAAGATTAAATATCTTTTTTTTTTTTTGGTGACTTTCCCTCCAATAGTTGATTTAGTATGTCTAGCATTTTACTGACTGTCTAAAGGAAACTAGATCTAGAAATTTCCTACTTGTGAAGTCCTGGAGATGATCTAAACCAGTGCCTTCACTCTCCATTCTGTCCCAAGAGCAGAAGTGACATGCCCTAGATCAGGGGTCGGCAAACTGCGGCTCGCAAGCCACATGCGACTCTTTGGGTATATTCTATCTAAAAAATGTGCCGACCCCTGGAAGAGCCAGTTCTGTCCCTCACAACAATTTAAACATTATCTGAGAGCCATAAATATATTTTTACAAATAAGGAAAATTTAAAGTAATGCTATCAATGAAACTATGATAATTTTATTTTCATTTTCAATTTTACCTCAGAGCCTCATGTACGTACCCAAAGAGCCGCATGTGGCTCCCAAGGCACAGTTTGCTGACCCCTGGTCTAGATTAACCAAGATAAAAAGCTGTGACTCCTGACCCCTGGGGCAAGGATTTGTCACTGCAAAGCCAATCTCTCATAGGACAGGAATTTAAGTTTTAATCCCATTCACAGGCTATTTTGAAGTGTTACTAATGCTAAAGGTGCTGTGATTTTATTTTTAAAATGAAGATCATTTAAGGAATTTTGTGTTGCTATTTCAATTTTTAAAATACGCCTTTTTAAAAAAAATTTTTAACAGTTTTAGGTTTATAGAATCTACTACAAAGATAATCCAGAGAGTTTGTGTCTATCTGTCTCCCACTTTCAACTATTATTATTACCTTATATTAGTATGGTACATGAGTCACGATTAATAAACAAATATTGATGCATGATTAGTAACTAAATCCTTACTTTATTGAAGTTTCCTCAGTTTTTTCCTCATGTCTTTTTTCTGTTTCAGATCTCATCCAAGATACCACGTTACACTGAGTAATTATATCTCCCTAGGCTTTTCTTGGTTGTGACAATTTCTCAGACTTTCTTTGTTTTATGACCCTAATAGTTTTGAAGACTACTGGTCATATTTTGTTGATCGTGCATTAATTGAGATTTGTGTGATATTTTTCTTATGGGTCGACTGGGATAATGTGTTTACAGGAGGAAAACCATAGAGGTAAAATTCCATTTCCTCCCATCCTGTCAAAGGCACATCAAAGGAATTATTGCTGTTGATGTTCACCTTAACCACCTGGTTGTATGTAGTGTTTGTCAGGTTCTCCACTGTAAAATTACTCTTTTTACTTTCCCTTCCCATGTTGTACTCTTTGGAAGAAAGTCACTCTATACAGGCCACACTTAAGGAGTAGGAAGTTATTCTCCACTCCTTAAGGATGAATTATCTACGTAAATTACTTGAAATCCTTCTGCATGGCATAGTGGTCTATTTGTTTATCTATTTAATCATTTATTTTTACCAGAATGGACCTATAGATATTTATTTTATACTTTGGGTTATAACCCAGTGCTACCTTATATATTTTGTTGCTCAAATTGTTCTAGATTTGGCCACACAGATTTTTCGGTTGGCTCCTTTATGCCTTTGATACAATAACCCTCATTGTGTGTGTGTGTGTGTGTGTGTGTGTGTGTGTGTGTGTGTGTGTGTGTGTAGCATTTTTTACTTTCTGGCACTACTAGATGCTCTAGATTTATCTTGTATATTTCCTGCCTCAGTCTAAGAATCTGTCATTTCTGCAAGAATACTGGTTCTTTCATGGCAAAATGGTATTTGAAATCAAGATCAAGGTGGTAGTTGTGTTCATTGCTATTGGGGTACCATTGTGTTTAAGTCCTCTCAGCTGCCACAGCAGAGAGATATATGTGTGATTAGTAACGCATGTATATATAAATGTCTATAAATATTTCTGTGTGTAGTTATCTGTATATATAGTAAGCTACACACGAGTTCATACTGACATTTCCAACTCTAATACAATACACATGGATCATTCTAGCATTGCCTGTCTGTGAACTCTTACTCCAAGAGTGAGAAACTTGGCTTCCGCCACCTGCCATTCATTTACTTCATTTTTCAATTCCATAATGTGTGTGTGTGTGTGTGTGTGTGTGTGTAGTGTTTGCAGAATTGTTAACCTGTATGCCCATAGGAAACAGATTTATCAATTATAGTACAGTGCTTATGTACAGTTCCTTTTGCTTTTGATCTTATTGACTCCATTCATTTTCAAAGTTATTTAGGTCAGCACCTTATTCCCCCACCCCCTTTAGTGAGATTGTTGCATATATTTCTCATGCATTTAGGTTATTTTCTTTAGTATTTTGCCTTCCATCCTGGGATCCCCCAATCTCCTCATTGATTTTTTTTTCATTTGCATGCATTGAGGTTCACTCTGTGTGTGAAGTTTTATGAGTTTTGACAAATGCTTAATGTCTTGTACTTAACATTAAAATACCTTACAGGATAGTTTCACCCCCCCCCATAAAATATCCCCTGTGCTTCCCCTATTCAACCCCTAACACCCTCCCAAAATTGTGCCTTTTTGAAACCCTGCATTGGGACTAAACATCTCCAGAGGTAAACATCACAATCAAGAGATGGCAGATAGGATGCTTGTCTTATACAGGAATTTTTTTAAATATAGTGAACATTTAATGTTTGGTGATAATTTTGTTTCTTACAGATCAGGGGTTGTGACCCTTTATTTTTTTACATTTATTTCTCAATTACAGTTGACATACAATATCATATTAGTTTCAGGTGTACAACATACAGATTATACTTTTATTTTTTTAATTATATATATATATATATATATATATATATATATGTTTTGGGTTTTTTGTTTGTTTTTTAAAGAGCATGCAGCTCACAGTGGCCCATGCAGGGATCGAACCGGCAACCTTGGTGTTATCAGCACCCCGCTCTAATCAACTGAGCTAACTGGCCACACCTAAATTATACTTTTATATAACTTCAAAGTAATCACCTGGATAAATCTAGTGCCCATCTGACTGTGAGCCTTTATTTTTACCTCATTATGATTTGTCTAAAGAATAAAGCAAAAAGATCTCAAATTGGAGGAAAAGATCATTAAAAGAGGGGAAAGATGATGAATGAATTTGACAGGACAAAAAAGTGAATTGAATTGACAGGTCATATCAATTTTATGTTTTTAATTGTCAAAACGCATTTGAAAATATTTTCTTGAATCATGACTCAATAACTTTGAAATCGTTACTTGTATTTTATTCTAAAGGATCCATCCTGCCTTCTTTTTTTCCTACCTTTCATTCTCTCTTTCCTTTTCTTCCTTACTTTCCCCTACACAAATGTTGACTGAGTGAATACTTACGGGGGAGGGCAGGTAGACGCTGCAAATGCATAGGCGAAAAAGTTATCCATGTCTTTAAGGACTTTCTACAGCATTTTCCAGGTAGGAAGATGTGAAATGACAAGTACTATATAGTAACTGCTCTATTGGTGCAAGCGGCACGTAACGGAATAAAGGAATAACCCTCACTTGGCGGATTAGGGACGGCAATAGCGATGACACCTGAACCTGAAGGACTGTTCATGTTTGAGACAGATAAATAAATGTAGTGCATTCTAGGTGGGAAGTAAAACATGTGAAAACATCTTGGAAGATCAGAGAGAATGACAAAATGAAGGAGCTGCCAGTTCCTTATAGCTGGAGTGGAAGTGTCAGCCGAGGTGGGATGGTGATAGAATTGGTGGTAGATGAGCAAGACAAGTATGGATCATGGCGGGCCTTGAGTTTAGATTTTCTCTTGGGAGTAATGAAGAGGACACTCAAGGGGGATGAACAAGGTTACAACATTTTAGAAAGTTCACGTTGGCAGAGAACTGGTGGGGAGAAATAGAGAGTGTATGGAACTTGGTCCTAGAAAACTTCATAGATGGCTGTTGCTACAGTCAGGATGGGGGATGATGAGGGTCTGCTGTAAGTCAGGAACAGAAGGCATAGAGCAGCAAGGATGTACAGTAATACCGTGGTTTGCGAGCATAATTTGTTCCAGAAACAAACTACTCGTATTGTAAGACATCGCCCGTTTACCATGGTAAAATGTATTAGAAATGTTTGCTCGTCTTGAGGAACGCTTGCAAACCATATTACTCGCAATCTAACGTTTTACTGTACAGAGCAATATATTCATAAAAATAAGGATGCGAGAGAGGAAGGAGACAGTGAAGTACTAAATGGTGAAGTTGAGAATATTCTCAAAATCCTACTAATCTTTATTTTCATTAAATGGAATTTGAAAGCTTGATGACACAGAGGTACTATTTGTTCAATTTTCTATTGAATATGTTTTCATTATTATATTTCGAAGAACAAGTGCCCAGATTTTCATAAAAATGTTAATTCAGGGAGGAACAGGGTCTAGATAGTTTTTCTTATTAAGCCATTAAATCTCATTAAAAGGTGAATGCAAAAAAAAATGAGTTCAGAGTTTGTGGCATATCTGTGACATGAAAAAGAATTTAAACTTAGAACTCTTCTCTGTTTTGAGGACATTTTTATTATGGTTTGTTGGACACGTAATTCTGGGTACCGAAGCATTCGCCCATATTGGTATTCACTAGTTTATTCTAGAACGTAATCTGAAATAATTTTTTTTCTTTGGCAGGATGAATCTTTAAAGCAATTGCAGGTGGTTCACCAACCATGGATCTTGCCAAGTGACACAGAAAGCGAAGGAGTAGAGGCAGAACAAGAAAAACGTGAGTAGGCTCTTCTGTTAATGGACAAATTGCTTTAGCTAAAGGAAGTCCACATTGAAGGTATATCCCTTTCATAATGTCAAACAATGTCTGCAAAAATTTCAGGTTGATTACGGAGAACATGTAAAGATAAGCTATACTTACAGCATATAATCTTGATTCAGTGATGTCTGAATTGTGGTGCAGAGACCCATAAACTAACTTTGTGAACAAAAGTATGGTTATGACACCTTAAAAGAAAGAACTATCCTTCCTGAATACCAGCATAGAGTGTCCATTTGGAATGTGAATTGTCTATAAATACTGTAGGGTTAGATCAGTGATAACTTGTGATTATTAGAAATGTCTTAAGTATGTTAGGATCAGCTCATTATTACATATGAAATTATCATTAGTAGTTAAATGAATAAATTTATATACAGTTGAACCTTGAACAATGCAAGGATTAGAGGTACCCACCCTCAATCAGTTGAAAATTTGCATCTAATTTTTGACTCTTTAAAAACTTAACTATTAATAGCCTACTGTCAGCCAGAAGCTTTACCAATAACATAAAATAGTCAATTAACACGTTTTGTATATTCTATGTATTATCTATTGGGTTTTTACAATAAAATAATCTAGAGAAAAGAAAATGCTATTAAGAAAATCATAGGAGGGCCGGCCGAGTGGCTCAGTTGGTTAACAGCTTGCTCAAGAGTTTGAGCTCTGAGCAACAGCGGTTCGATGCCCGGCCCGAGCTGAGCTGCCGCTAAGCTGTCAATAGGTAGCAGGATGGCTCAGCTAAAAAAATAAAAATAAATAAATAAATAAATAAATAAATAAAAAGAAAATCATAGGAAGAGAAAACACATTTATAGTATTTATTGAAAAACACCTGTGTTTAAGTGGACCCATGCAGTTGAAACCCTTGCTGTTCAAGGGTTGACTGTATATAGAAACTGTTGTAAATTCACAAAACAAATTAGTATTATAATAGTACTTGAGACAGAATACATAGCTCTTGATTTAAGTTGCTGGATTATAATTATAACAAAGAACAGATTACTCTAATTTAGCCTGACTCAGTGCGTGGGGGTTGGGGTGTGTGTGTAATTGACCTTGTCAGACATGGGTTCGGCACTCTAGATAGAAGTTAGTGGATTATATACAGAAAATACCAATTTAAAAAATATTAACTATCAAAATTTACTTTTTTTTTTTAACCACTGGTAGCCAGCAGAGAAAAATTGAAACTGTAAGTGATAAAGGTAGCTCTTGTGATAATTGGTGTGAAGTGATTAGTTAATAATTCTCCTCGGTAATTTTTGAATAATTATGGTACTGTTGAATAATTATGAGGTACACGTGAAACTAATATAATATTGTATATTAGCTATATTTTAATAAAAGTCTTTTTTTTAAAAAAAGAAAAAACACTGCAATGGCAGTTGAGAATAAAGGTGACACTAATCGATATAGAAACATAGTAACAGTTCCCCTGAGTTGTGGTCGCAGAGGTCCCTAACATGTTGTACAGTTAACATGATTCTGTAACCAGGGGAGTCCAGGAAATTTCTCTTCCAGATTAAAAGGTATTTAAAAATGTTCTTATCCCACTTTTATAGCTTCAGGCTTATATGGCCAGAGGGGGCACAGCCAGGAGAGGGATGTAGGAGTCAAAATATTCAAGTGACAGGAGGTGGCGTAGAGCCCAAGTGACACTCAGATGGCACATTCAGAAATACAGTGAGTAATGCAGTGACATTTTACAGGTTCTATTTGAGGGAAACAACATCTTCCGTAGAAAATAACTGATGAAGACTCAGAGAGCAGATTGTACTTTAAACAAGGACAAAAATAGAGTATTTTGGAAAGATCTTTAATGCAAGGGATCCTAAGTAAAAGATCAGCAAAGAGCAGCATGGGATGCAAAGAAGAGACTCCCCTACGTTTGAAAGAATTAATAGCAGCCCAGAGTTTTTATGAAAACAAATGCAAGCACACTTTTATTATATTTCCCCTTTCCCCACTCTCCACGCATTTAAATATACGTGAGCTCTCATTCTAGAGTGTATTAAAAACAAAACAAAAAAAACTTCAAGCCAGTGTTGTGTGTCTGTGTGTGTCCTCACGCACCTATTGTATAAAGACAATATATTGCCCAAAGTGGGCAAGACAGACAGGATGCACAGCATGTTAATTCTATGAGTGTGCCATACTTATAATGAACTAGAACTTAAAAGCAAGAAAAGAATCAGTCAAAATAGTGTCTTTAATCCAAGCCCAAATTCAGACGTATTTCCTGTTCCTCAAATCCATATGTCTCCAGTCCACATTAAGTCTCAAAAACAGATTAACAATACAAAGGAGATAAAAATCCTCAGAACTTTCTTCAGCCCTTGTCATCTAATCACATTGCCTTTCTGCAATATACTGTCACAATATTTTAATAAGAATTTGTAATCATCTTCTCTTTCACTAGGGTACAAATTCTTTGAGAGAAGGAATCTGTTTATCTTATTGAGGTATATAATAAGACCTCAATACATATCAGAAGAATTAATAAATGAATGACTAGATTTCTTTGGTACTTTCTAACTTGTTTATCAGGACAGATGGAAATTTAACACAAAATAAATAATTATGGCTGAATAATTGTAAAAATTATTTATAGTTTTTATTAAAATTTGAATACTGGATTTATAGTTTTGCCATGGATTTCACCATATGGTCTGTCAATCACTCAAAGGTGACCATTCTTGAATGCTTCTAACCATAGACCTAGAACCCAAACTATTTGATTTCAGCCACATTTTACTTCATGGTGACCCTTGACAATGGTAAATGGCTTGAAATAAAATCAGCGTTTAAAAATAATTAGGTGGTAATAGGAGCCATCTGGAAATGGAATGCTAGCTAGAATTGTAGCCAAGCTCACAGCAGAGATGCATATACTTTCCGTGTGCCAGCCGACATTCAGGTGCTGGGACAAGTGTAAGATGGAGTCACTGAGGCAGTGGCACCTCCACTAATATTTGTATTCAGTGCATGCGGTTTGTGGAACAGCTGGCAAAATACACGTGCATCATCTACCACTTTACGTTCTTGGTGAAAGGAAATAAAAGACATAAATCTATGTGAACCCACCATCTGATTTAGTCTCTAAAGGCTCATTTATTAGAAACGTCTGAGGAAAAGGACAAGATTCATCATTCCAACATTAACACCTGTTTCTTGACTCAGCATTCTATAAATTATACTTGGTAATTTTGTGGAATTTCTAATTTCTCTTGAAATAAATCATCATGGCGGAAAGTTTCCAAATAATTTCAGGATCTTTGTAGTGGTGCCTTCTTCTTATTGCATCATCTTAAAATAAGACTTAACTCAAGTAAGTTTTATTGAAGAGCACCTTTTAGGAAAAGATGTCTTAAATAATTAAATGGGAAGGTTTAAAAACTTTTTTTATAAATAAGATAAGTAGAACCCTTAATTAAGAATATTGTTCTTTACTCTGCTTTTAATATATTTAGTATAAATTATATTTATACTAAATTTACATTTAGTATAAATTACAAGTTTAAAAATAAATCATGTCAGGGTGTGCTTGTTGTAATCTCTCAAGTTATGCTCCAGAGTCACTATATAACGAAAATCACAGACATTTGAGTCTACTGGGGTACTTGTTTGATACTCATGTTTTTGGGCTCCACTTTAGACCTGTTGAATCAGAATCTTTGTGCGTGGGTCTCTGAATTCTGCATTTCTAATAAACTCCTCAGGTGATCTTTGTTCATTTTGAAAACTGAGAATTACTGGAATGAAAAACCAAGAGTTAGAGAGTTGTGGTTCAGAATTGTCACCATATTCTTGTTAGATTTTGGACTTTGTTTCCCAAGGCTGCTTTCCCCAATCTGTTAAGTTTGGATAGTGTTTTCTACTTTCTCTATGGTAAAGCTATTTTTAACCCATCTTTCTATACAATTCTTTGGAAGCACATCACTAATTCTAGTCTGCATTCAAGGAATATGTTATTCCAATGACTTCTTTTTTTTTTTAAGATTTTTTTTTTATTGGCTTTATTGGGGGATGGGAACAGCGCTGGGGAATTGGGGGAAGGGGAACAGAAAAGTTGCTGTCATTTTGTTCTTCAGTCTAGTTGTGGAGGACGTTGCTTCACTGGCCCAAGTTGGCACCATCATTGTGCTCTTCCCGGGCGAGGCAGATCAGTCGCTGGCTTCTGGATGGCCGCTCACTGCGGCTGCTGGCCGCTCACGCTGGCTGCTGGCCACAACGGTAGCCCATGGCAACCCACTGCCACAGGGGCTGCAGCCTATGCCGTCGCCGGCGACTCTCAGCAGCCCAGCTTCAGGTTGAGCTGTTGTTCAGCATCTTAGCTGTAGAGGGCAGTGTCACTGGCCCTCATATGTGGGATCCGAACCGGGGCCCTCTGGCGTCCCAGGCCAGTTCTTAACCATCGTACCACTCGGCCGGCCCTCCAATGACTTCTTGCCTCTAATAGTTCCTGATAAGAAGTCAGCTCCTAATGTTGAGGGACCTTTGTAGATGATGTTTTTTTGTTTGTTTTTTCTGCTTTCAAGATTCTTTCTTGCTCTTTGTCTTTTGATAAAGTGAAATGTATGTCTGGATATCTTTGAGTTTACTTTATTAAAGTTTCTTGAGCTTCTTGGATATGCAGATTAATGTTTTCATCAAATGTGTGAACTTTTCAGCCACATTTCTTCAAATATTTTTTCTGTCCCTTTTTCTCTTACCTCTCCTTTTGGGACTCTGGTTATATGTATTTTGGTATGCTTAATGTTGTCCCACAATGTCTCTGAGGAACTGTGAATTTTTCTTCATTTGTTTTCTGTCCCTTAGACTGGATTTCAGTTGCCCTATCTTAAGTTCTTTGATTCTTTCTTATGCCAGCTCAAATCTACTGTTGAGACCCTCTAGTGACTTTTTCATTTTAATTCCAGAATTTCTATTCTGTTCCCCTTAATATTTTGTGTATT